CATTGCTCAGCCAATTCAACATCATCAAAACATGCTTCGAAAACGAAAATACCAGCAAAACATCACAAAACATCAAAAAAAATCAGCTCATTCAATCTGAACACTATACAACAGTCATAGATAACTGAAACCTTCCGAAACATATCTACACACTGTTCAGCCAATTCAACATCATCAAAACATGCTTAGAAAACGAAAATACCAGCAAAACATCAAAGAGAATCAGCTCATTCAATCTGAACATCAGTCATAGATAACTGAAACCTTCCAAAACATATTTAAACACTGCTCATCCAATTCAACATCATCAAAACATGCTTCGAAAACGAAAATACCAGCAAAACATCACAAAACATCAAAATAAAATTCAGCTCATTCAATTCGAACACTATACAACAGTCATAGATAACTGGAACCTTCCAACACATACTAGCCAATTCAACATCACAGAATATATCAAACATGCTTCGAAAATGAAAATACCAAGCGAAACATCACAGAACATCAAAAAAATAAAAATCAGCTCATTCAATTTGAACACTGCTATACAAACATGGATCCAGAATACATACCGGAGAACAAGACGACAGAACTGGAAGCTTCCAAAACATATTTGAATCAGAGATTAACAGCCGAACAGATCTATAAACCCTAAAATTGAATCGACAGATTCGAAACGTAGAGCTTTTTCAAGCTTTTTCTATTTGGAGCGAAATAGATATTGAACCAAACCCTAGCTTTTGAAGATCAAAGAGAAAACGAAGCCGTAAATATCAATAGAGCGAGAAAAGAGAGAGAGTTTTTTTTTCATAAAAATGGCAAGGAGGAGTAAACGAAGGCTATAATATTTTTGTTGGATGGGTGGGTATAAGGGGGTGATAGGAACGAGAAAGTTACAAAAACTACAAATTTTGATTTGAAGTTTATTAATCGGTATCAAATTCGAGCTCTGAATATAAAATTTGATTATAATAAAAAACTTTTTAATTCTTAAAAATATTATTATATATATAAATTTAGATTAGTTAGACTAATATTAATAATAGCATAATCACTCCAAAATGAATATGAACATAGAATAAAATAAAATTTGAATTTTTTAATTTGATTTTAACTTTTAAAAAAAAACAATTTTTGATGTGTAAAAATACACATTTTAATATATATAAAATTAAATAAGTGTATATATATATTTACATGACAATTTAGAGACGAAGCTAGGTGAAGATATTTGAATTCGATCGAACGATCTAACTTTTATGTTGTATTTTTACCTGAAAATTAAATAAATGTATATGCGTATTGGCTAGTAAACCTGGTTCGATGATAAAAAAGTAACTCTAAAATGTTAGTTGTGGGTTCGAACTCTACCCCCACCGCGTAATCTGGATCACCCTTTCTTTTAGAATTTCCAAATTCTTAATTTTAACTTCACATGTGATATACACTCAAAATAATGTATATTATATAGTGCTTACTTATATCGTAATTAAAAATTTTAAATATCAATTAATATCAAAGTAAAATATACGTTCACAGATTATTTGGAGAAAATAATGTTAGATGAAAAGGATTATCGATCATAAAGTAACTTTGGAAAAAATTACTATGTCATTGTGTTGTTTAATTAAAGATAATTCATTCATTTGATCTATTAATTATAAAAAGATTAACGTGAATTATTATTATTTTTTTGTCACATGTGTATTTATGTATTGCTTCTAAATAGTTATTTTAGAAAATAGAACTTTATTTTAAAATAGAATATGAGGTGTTTTGCCATTGAAATTTTTATATTTTTTTTTGGAGCTGAATTTCGAAAAGTATTTATGCCTCATTTATTTTCAGTAAAATTAAGACGTTTGAATCTGAATACACATCTGAATGTTAAGATATGCAGTAAGATCTAGATGTGAATATCTAAATAAACATCTAAATATTAAGATGTGTTCTCTGAATCTGAACACTGAATTATTGAAACTGTTTGTTTTTGATATCTGAATGTACATATTAAATTAAATGTTATATCAATAAAATATTATTAAAACCTTATTTTAGTAAAATAATTTTTCAATTTTCAAGACAACTTTCACATTTAGCAAACATAAAATTCATATACAATTAAAGTGAATTGAATAAAATGAAGTGTATAAAACAAAAAAGAGAAAGAGACTTGGACAGAGAATTGTATAAAATGAATTATATAATTATAAGTGTATAGACGATTATATACAATTTTAAATTGTATAAAATGAGAAAGATAGAAAGGCAAAAAAGACATGGGTAGGGAATATACAGTTAAATCGAATTGTATAAAATGAGAAAGAGAGAAATTATATACAATTTGAAATTGTGTAAAACGAGAAAGAGAGAAAGGCAAAAGAGACTTGGGCACAAATTACTTTTATTGTATAATTATAAGTGTATAGGACAAAAATATATGTATTTGCATGTGTATATACAACTTTCGCTCGCTATATACAGTTGGAAAAGCAATTTATATAATTCTATTGTATAAAGCGAGAGAGGCGAGCAACAGGAAGCGAGCGAGAGAGGGAAAGTGGCGAGCGAGAATATAAGGGAGAGAGAGACTGACAAACAATTTGCTATAGAACAAAAATAAATTAAACGATAGCTACTGTATTTATTTATATTATTAGTTTGTCATCCTATACAATTATCCCTTTTTTTTTATATAGAAAATAATATTTTGAACATTCTTACCGTAATAAGGTAATTTGATTTATCTATCAAGATTTAACATTGAGTTACATCATTAATATGATTATTCTTTGCAATAAAAAACTTTGAGAATCTAATATAATGTAATGTAAAATATTTATCAAATAGTTTATATAGAGTAGTAATATAATGTTTATAAAAACGTTTTATCTTATAATGGACATTTGTTATTATTATCGATTAAATAATTAATATTTTCTTATTTTTGAAACAGTACTAAATATTATATCATGAAGTGTTTATCAATTTAAATATATTGATTAATTTATGAAAGTAAAAAACGTATATTAAGTTAGTAAGAAGAAAAAAAATTATAACGGTAAGCATGTAATTAACATTAATTAAATAAGAAAAAAATTTATGAGTTGTTGTGATGTAATTGAGTTAAAATATGAGTCTTATTTTTGAGTCTCGATGGTTTTAAGGCCTCATTTGTTTGCACTTAATGGAGGTCTGAAATTATTCAGATTCAGCCTATTAAGTACGTCTGATTTTTAGGTCTGAATCTGAATCAGATTCAGATTCAGCCCATTAAATTCATTCGTTTTATTTCAAAGCCTCTTAATGGGTCTGGAGAAGTCTGGATGAATCAGATCTGTAGGAGACTCTTAACAACATTCAGACTCATTTAATAAGTTATCAAATAATAAATCATCGCTTCTCTGCTTTAAGCATGTATTTTTATCTCATAACTAAAAACTTTTTTTCTCTCTTTTCTCAATCAAACACCATTTTTTCCCTCTTGAACTGGTATGTTTTCATAAATCCTTTGAAGTTTTTTTTTATATTAATGATTTTATTGTATTGACTGTGTCAAGAACATTATTAGTGTATTGACGTTTATCAAGGTTTTTTAATGAAAAACAATTGTACTTCCAAATCATGATTATTAAAACTTTTTTTTCTATCAAAAGCTTTATATTTTGTTGAAATAATTTTTTTATGATATTTTATTAATTTAATGTTAATTTCAGATGTGTATTCAGATTCAGACCTATTAATCTTAATGAATCAGATCTGTAGGGGACTCTTAACAACATTCAGACTCATTTAATAAGTTATCAAATAATAAATAATCGCTTCTCTGCTTTAAACATGCCCTTTTATCTTATAACTAAAAACTTTCTTTCTCCTTTTTCTCAATCAAACATCATTTTTTCCCTCTTGAACTGGTATGTTTTCATAAATCCTTTGAAGTTTTTTTTTATATTAATGATTTTATTGTATTGACTGCATCAAGAACATTATTAGTTTTTTTATCAAAAGTTTTATATTTTGTTGAAATAAATTTTTTTTATGATATTTTATTAATTTAATGTTAATTTCACATGCACATTAAGATATTGAAAACAAATAGTATTAATTATTTAGTGTTCAGATTTAGAGACCACATCTTAATATTCAAATGTCTATTCAGATAAAAAAACCCGAATCTTAATGCAAATCTTAATATTCAGATGTATATTCAGATTCAGACCTATTAATCTTAATGGAAACAAATGAGGCCAAAAAGTGTTTTACAAATGATTAATTCAGATACATTAAGACCCACTAAGAGACTTATAATTAAATAAAACAAATAAACTTAATGAATTGAATCTAAATAATTAAAATTCAATCATAAAAAACAAGCACACCAAATGAGGCGAATCTGATTGATTAAGATTGAGACCCCATTAAGTGCAAGCAAATAAACAAGTAAAGCTTTAGTGGAATTTGAAAAACGCTTTACAGATGTTGTCACTTTTCATTTTATTTTTTGATAAAAAATTGAAATAACTTCAAATTATATTGATAATCAGATATAATTTTATTTTTTACTTTATAAATATAATCACATTTTTTAGTTTTATACTTTATGATTGATATAAGTATTAAGATTAGCCAAAAAAGAAAACTCTCTTCGTCAAAATTTATTTTCACATTCAAATTTCAAACCCAATATTTTAAGATAAAAGTGAAAAAATCAATGTTCATTTAAGCATACATATTGGTTTCATAATTACTTTGGTAAATCAAATTTCATAACTAAATACCGTTGCGTACATGTAGCTAATATTATTTGTATTTATCGAAAAAATAAAATCATTTTTAAAGTATCACACAATAGTTGAATATTAAACACTAATTTGACTGACATTTTTAGCAAAATCTATAATTTGCAAGTTGAAGGAAATAATTTGCAATTTGCACTACAATATGATTTTTTTAAAAAAAACTTTATGTTGGTAAAGTTCTATCACGAAAATGATGGTCAATTTTGCAATATATAAGAAATTCATGGTGTGAGTAATGAGGAAATTTAGGGCCCATTGACATGACCCAACAATATATATACTAAACTTTTTATATACAAAAAATAAGGTAGTTGCTGTACAATTTACTTATTTATATTGAAATCAATTCTCTATGATAATTATAAATTTAAAAATTGAAAATTAAAATTATTTTTTATTTTGTTCTATACAGAGTTTGAACTTGTGATCTAATTGCAGCTTTTTTAATATGAGTTAATAGCTAAATAGATTGATTACCTGAATCTTAATTTTGTTGACGAAAGTTCAACTTTTCACTTTATGATTATTCTTTTTCCCGTTTCTCCTTTGTCGACCCAATTTTTAAAATAAATAGAAAAAAACCTACAAGTTGCTATTAAACGTAGAGGCTTATATAATTATATTGTTGGTCATTGTAACACAATGCTATGCAACAATATTTAGTAGGTGCGTTTATAAATATTAAATGTTTTTCACTTTTGCTGAAAAATTTATAGAGTTGGAGTTTAAGATAAATCATATTTGAATATATTTTAATTTAACTTTAAAAGTAAAAAGTAGATTAAAAACATAGGTTATAAGTTGTTTTCCAATTCTGGCCCAAATTACTCTAGTAAAATTTATAATTAAATGAATTTGAAATAAAAATATATTAGAAAGAATGGAATAGTTTTCATAGTCAAACAGATCTTTAATTTATCGCTCTTGTAAATTGTCCTTTTCCTTTTTTTTTATAACATATAACAAAAGAAGTCGTTTCAAGTATGATTAATCGCTCTTTTGGTGAACAACAATCAATTGCACTAATTATAAGCTAATAAATTTTATAATCCAAGGCATGTTTTTTAAAATAGTGATATTAAATGAATGACTTAATTAAATATAAACGAAATAAGATAAATTGAATTAATAAATGAGCAAGTGATTAAATCACCAAAAGATTACTTGAGTTGAGATAATCTAGATTAAAAATGAGTGAATAATGAATAATAAACAATCTAATCTGTATTTTGATAATACATTTAATTATATGATGATGATTTTTTTTTGTGAAGATGAATAACATATCAAACAACAACAAAAAAAGAATATTTTGATTAGGTTTCTCATGAGTTAAGTTAAACTAATTATCAATTTAGAATTTAAATGAGCTGAATTTAACAAATCAAATTGACTGAAGTTACAAGAATCATATTTTCACGTGCTATACCCTTACTCTTAATTTTAACTAACAACTAATTAGACAAGATATTACAACTCAGATTATAATCAAATGAGTTTGTGGACCGTCTTGCAGTTATAACGGAGAGAGTTGAAATTCTTCGTCTAGTGTTGTTAATTTCTCTCTTGAAAGAGAGTCAGAGTTGCATCTTTTCAACCTCAAGATTACATTGTGATAATATTCAATTTTTATTTCAATTTATAAGGTAAGAACTTGTTGAACTAGCTCATTGATATCAAGAAGATTCATCTGAAATTATTTCTACAAAAAATTATTTATCAAAATATCTATTAAGATAAATTTAAATATAAGATTTTATAATATCGTGCTCACAATTAAATCATTCATGCTTTCTATTAATTATATTATGTGTTAAAAAGTGTTTTGATTGCATAACTAATCTATGTTTGGGTGGGAGAAAGGTGATGATTAGGTTAATTAGTGATGATAAAAGGTGATTAAGAAATGTATAATTTAAGGGAAGAAGTGTAAAGTGTAAAGTGTAAACTAAAAGCAAGAAGACAACTGTCAATTTTTTTTATCTTTTAATTTTAAAAATATGGAATGATTGGAGTCGGTAATTCTTTAATTATATAAGCAAATATTAATTAAAAAATATATTAATTTGAATGAAATTAAATGACACATCAAAGAATAAGTTTGAGATTAATTTTATATTTTATTTGATTTACCTATAAATTTACTACATAATAAAATTGTATTTTTAATAAAATAAAATAAAATAATTTTTTAATTTTAACATAATTTCATAATATTCCATCATATCTAAATTCTAATGTACCAAATGCCTCTCTACGGAATAAAATTCAATTAGTTAAATATAATAAAAATATAATTTTTATTAAATCTCATGTAATTGTATTTTTTTAAAATATAGAAATTTTAACCTTGACTAATATTAGAGGTACATTAGATATTATTGAGTCATTTTTAATATATCAAATATTTTTTAAATTTAATTAGTGAAAGAAAAGATAAATTTGTTATTAAATAGATTAATAAAAACACTCTAAAGTGATTTTTAATATCTTAAAATGATAATTTTGATCTTTTTCTATTATAAAAGAAATAATGGGTCTTAAGAATACCTTTTTAACTCATCACGTTTAGTTCATCAAAGTTAATTTAATTGATATTGAAAGTTAAATTAAACAAGATTAATTTAATATTTTAAATTAGATATTTGAAAAATTATATGCAGAGGAAAAATGACATAATTTTTCTATTTAGAATTGATATACTCTCGTTATGAAAGTGACTCATATATACTCTTACTTATTTTTATATACAAGTGACTCACATATACTCTACCGTTACAAATGAGTTCACATATACTTTTTATTTAACGCAAATGAAAAAATTAATTCTGAATATAATTCTTTTAGAAAAGTTTTAAGACATATTTAAATTTTTTCATACATAATTCATAAAATACTTTTGACTTCTCTTTTATTGTCATTATTTGATTTTCTTATTTTTTTTTCCTTTCATTCTTTTTAGTGCAAAATGAACAAAAAAAAATTAAAGCTAACTTTTTGTATTATATGGTAATTTAGTTTTAGCATTTGTTGAAAACAAAATTGAGGCACTTATAATAAATTTTCCTACAGAATTAGTTCAACAAGTAAATAAAATTAACTATTCACAATAATAAATTTAAATTAATTATTAAAACAAAAAAGTCAATAAATAAAATAAATACTTGTAAGGAACATCAAATATATCCCATCTAAATTATACTTTTTCCAATTTAGTATACTGAACTATTTGTATAATAAGACAGGTTTATTTGTATCAATTATAAACATCAAAATTAAAAGAATATGTCATATCCTTCTTTTCATGCAAAATTTTTTCGATATCGTTATTTGTTTACTTTATATTTTATATATTCGTTTTAAAAAAAATAACGTAACAAATAAAAGTGAACAAAAAATTAAAAAAAAAAAAGTAAAAGAGTTACTATGGCTGATAAGAATAATGTCTATTTGGGACAATAACAACTTGTGACCAAATTATTCATCACTTTTCAATTTACAGGCTACATACATACTCCGATCAATTTCTGCCGGAACTAGGGTTCCGCCGGCCGGAGAATTTCCAGTTCCGGATCTGTCTAATTGAAGTTGTAGATCGCACAATTAGTTAAGCAAATTTGGAATGATTTATGGGTGAATTGATTGTTTTGTTGGTGGTGGTTAGTGGTTGGTAGCTGAAGTAGAAGAAGAAGAGGAGGACAAAAGTTCAATCAATATACAGAAAATGAGTGTGAGCAACGGTTCAGTTCATCCTGTTGACGCACCACCGTTGCAAACAGAAGCAGCTAACGTGCCGCGAGTGAGGATGAAGGATGTTCAAGGAATGCCTGGGACGGTTGGTGGATCCTTCTTACGTTTCGCTCAGTTTGTATTTGCTGTTGTTGCGCTTTGTGTTATGGCTACTACCAGTGATTTTCCTTCCGTCACAGCTTTCTGGTAATATTTTTGTTCTGAAAGCATAAATTTCAGTTCTGATCATGTTAAGATAAGCATATATGAGTAAGATGTTTAAGTTGAGGCGTAATTGGAAATGGTAGATTTCTGTATTAACAGTTTGGAGCTGAGATTTGGATGCTTGTCTTCAATTTGTTAATTAAACGAATTGGAGGTGATTTATCACATGGACTCTCATTATTATCTCAGAACACCATTTTCTTTACTGAAAAAATTGGAATCAAGAAGAAAGCTGACTTTTTGAGATGATAACTATTACTTGAGTGACCATTTGAGAAATCAACCGAACGAATTGAGAAGGGGCTGATTTTTAGAGGATTATATAGTATGCGACTTCGTGGTGTATTATGTGGAACAATTGTGCTCAGTTGGATAACTTATTTCTAACTCGCTATTCAATCGGGAGATGCTCAGTTGACTCCTTAACCTTGATAGGAAGATGGCTTATTGAATTAAACATGAATTAGGGTAAGGAACTCCGAATGAACTTAATGTGATAGGTGTATGTCTCACTGCTCAGGAACACCCTGTGTTGTGACCATTCTGCGAGACGCGGGAACGGGGCATTCTATTCCTTTAAGTCCAACTACTCTAAATGTGCCTATTCCTTTGACACATATCCATGGAAAGAGGGGGAAATGACTTATTCCTCATCAACCTTAGCCAGCTTACTCTGACTTGAATAAGACGAAGGCAATAGGCGTCACTAGGTACTCTCCGACTAACTACCTAAACTCCCAATGGGGATGACCAACTCCAACCAGTAAGAATGGAAATTCACTTTCATGTTGAAATCTTTCCTGCTGGAAGGCTGAGGGGCGCCTTGAATGTCTTGGAAAGATCATACATTGTATACACATTCTCATTATCTTTTATAAGTGAAGTAATGGGTCCTTAGTAGCGTTGACAAAGAAGAAGGATCCGGTTAAAAGAAAGCAAACCTTTCCATTTTTTTTAACTACCTTGTAGAAAAAACAATTGCTGGGAGATGGGGTTGTGGCCTTCTGATGTGTTGATTCTCCACTGAATATGCTAAAAGTTTCAGCCTATACAGTCTATAACTTATATAGGAAGTATAAATCTAGTGGGTAGCGAGTCCAGGTGGCCTCAGATTCAAGTCTCCTTGTAGTATGGTGACAGACATCTTATGTATTAGTACATCCTCACTAGTGTGCGCCAGAGGTTGTTAATCTGTACTGGTTGGTGCTGTGTAAATATGATATTTATCATCCTCCTAAAAGGACAAGGTAATATGCCGGCAAAGTGTGTTGATGCCATGGTTGTACACAAATTAAGATTTCGTATATGGTTTGGGGCCCGGGGGAGGGGAGAGGGGCTTAACTTTTGCTCCTTTTATAAATTTCTTTTCTGTCACATTTGTTCAAACCAGACTTTAATTCTGTTGTTAACATAGACTAGTATTGCCTGAATGTGCTAGTTAATCACGTGGTATCTCCATTGACTTGAAGTCAATTAATTGGGCTGCGAATGCTGCCAATAATTCATCATATATCTTGTTAGAAGTTTGGATCCCTTCTGTAAACGTGAGTGAAGGAAATCTAAGAGCTCTTTTCTTTTGGGTGGTATCTCATATTTGGTTTATAAGTTTTATAAGTTCTATGTCTTTTGGCTCTTTGATCAAGAACATGCTTACTGGAAGTTGTGTTGCTTTATGATGAATATTTCATCTTATCTGGTTTCCCAGTTACCTTGTCGCTGCTGCTGGCTTGCAGAGCTTATGGAGCTTGTCTCTAGGTATTCTTGATGTTTATGCTCTTCTTGTTGGACGGTGCTTGCAGAACTCTCAGGTTGTGAGTTTATTTGCTGTCGGTGATGGGGTAAGTTGCTACAGGTTCATCCAAAACTTGATCACGTAATAGTAGCTGTGCTAATAAATAAATGAAGGGATTATTGAAGTAGTATTCTTGTACGATAAAAAAGATGCATATCAACTTGTCAAACATTCTGATTTCTTTGTGTGATAGAAAAAACTGTACAATTTGGTACAATCAGACATGCAAGGACTTGATACGACAGAGAAAAGCTCCCATAACAATCAGTTCAATACACTAGTGCTGTGATTTTGTATTGTTTGATGAGTAAAATATCAAAAAGTTTCAACTTTTTACCTTTCTATTGGTATGAAAAAGCTTAATGCAGATATTTTGGATTCTGTTAATTTCCTATGGAAGTTTTGCAGTTTCTTAGTGTATTCTTGGAATTTTTTGATCCATCTTTCATCTCTTAAGATATAGATATGTGAGGTCAGACATGAAAGTTCTTCTTTAACATGGGTTTTTAACTCGTCCAGTTTGATGTCCAAATTACCATTTATTAAAGTTTGATAAGTTGATTTGTCTTTTAAATATCTCATAATGAGGTGACATTAGAGTTACTTCTAACAGCATATTCCCACCCTTGGGCGGAGATGAAACCCCAATAATCAAAAAGTTGTACTATATATCCTATGTCAAAATTAGTTTTTATCAATATGTAATTGATTTTGAAGCACAATGCTGTTGAATCTCCATTGAAGAAAGAAATGTCTTCCATGGACAATGTGGATGAAATCAAAAGGAAATTCTCAAGTGAGCATAGTATCAAAGTTACTCTTTCGCCTATAAGGAAGGCTCGTGTGTTTATTTCTTTATATTTTGAATTCTCTTGGTTAAATCCTTGTGCCCATTCAGCACATTCCACTTTGTGCATATAACATAAGATTTTAAATAAGCTCATTGTGGAGCATAGTCCAGATTGTTGACTTCTTACCATTTATCATCTTCATGAATGTCTTTCTTGCAGGTCACTTCTACCCTCATGTTTGCTGCAGCCTGTGCTTCTGCTGGCATTACTGTACTGATTGGCAATGACCTTGGTGTCTGCTCACAAAATCACTGCTTAGAGTTCGAGACTGCTACTGCCATGGCTTTTCTTAGCTGGTTCTGTGCTTTGCCATCATTTCTCTTAAACTTTTGGTCACTTGCATCCAGGTGAAGAAAGGCTCTCAAGGAATTAGAAACGATGCCAAAATATCTTGTAAAAGTACTGCCTTTTGTTTTGATGTTGTAAAATTTTGTCTAGATGATCAATGTCCCAGAAAAACATGCAATTGCTACTGCAGTGTGTAAATACTGATTGCGTAAAGCAGGTTAATGTGGGTAATTGAGCTGTGCTCTAACTCTGTTGCTGGATATAAAGGATTGCACATAAATTGTTTGATACTGAAAATGCCATCATTTAGCCATTCTTCCTAGCATATTTCACTTGGTACCTCTCCGTCTTAATTTACGTAACACTATTTTGATCAAGCTTAGAGATAGTGAATCACTTTGTGACTAACCAGAGATATGAGCTATATAAATTTTGACAATAGGTATATGTAATGTTAAATCTACAGTACATGTAAAGGTGATCGAGTTGGTTGAACATGAACGAATACCACTACATGCTTTCTAAATCAAGCTTGATTTATCCAAAGGGATAGCGGTTGTGAGTTACCTTGTATAAATAATAAACTTTCTGAACTAGAAAAAAGGAAAAATATAACATTCAGAAACAAGCAATTTCACTCGAAAAAAAACAAAAACAAAACTGCACTAAAAAGATTTACACAAGAGTATCAAGAAATCAAGAAATGAAATACACCTTCCAGTCTAATTAAATTAATGCAGAAGAAACTGGGAATTTTACATGTTACAAAAAATTTCGTTTGTCCCCTCATTCAACTGTGTTCCTGGCTATCAGTATTCTGTGAGAAAGGTCGAAAAAGAAAAAAAAAATATGATAGCATTACACGAATGACCAGTTGATAAACGAAAAGGCCAAACAGTGGACAGCATTTTCTTCAGACGACGCAAACACTTTCCACGCGATAGCTTGTTCATATGAAATATGTCGTCCCATTGTTGACATGCAGATACCACCAGGCAAACACGCGAAACCCTGTGCTCAAGAAACAACAGTGGGAAAAAAGAAGTAGTCAAGACGAAAACAGCCTCAACTTTGGTCTTTTGGCTCTGCAATAGCCCGTGGATCAAACCATTATACCAGATGACATCAGAATAGCCAACAGAATGTCAAGAGTAGCTAATTACCTGTTCCATAATCTTGGCAAATTCTGAGAGCAACACTTTCCTTCCGGATTCATCAAATATCTTATCTAGAGAAATGTCCTGTAATGCAACTAATGTTGTCTCCAGCATGTCGAGTCCGGCCTTATTAGCAAAAATGAAAACTGGCAGCGACTGCAACAACAGAGAGAACATCATCAACTTACTGACACGTTCTTGTAAAAAGATAAAAGACTAGAAACGTGACGAGAATATTTAATGTGGGGAAGTCAAAAAAATGTCTGGAACACTAATGAGGACAATTAAACGCCAATCAGATAAGTTCTCCTTTATGTATATGTTCAGGCTTCATAGCAACAATAACATACAGCATTTCTTAATTACAATTTCGTTATATCCACACGAGTTCATAAATAAATTCTGTAGCAAAAGAACTTCATACCTTCAATGAGCAGCACAAAATTGCATCCTGGTGTTGCCAGAGATTCTTTAGTACTGATTCATCGCCACTAGAATCAGCTCGAAGTAACTCTGTTCCCATGTGATAACTGGAGATTAAATGCAAAAGAAAATGGAATGTTAACAATCCGACAAGCACTTCTAATGTCTTATCCCAATAAGTTGAGAAAAAAAAAATTCTCAAATAATCGACAGTATCTCACTCTTACTGAAAATCAGAGATGCAGTAAGCCAAAACTAGCAAGCATGATCATGCACATGAAAAGCAAAACGTTGCGCAGAACAGAAGGGAACAAGTGTCACCATGATCAAGAAATCATCAAGGCTCACAAGACTATTACAGTTGTGAGGACCTTACCTATAGCTCTGGCAGATCCAATGCGACAATGTTACAGCTTCTGGTGAGCCTGGAGAAAGCTTGGCCCCCAGTGTAGGATTCATTCCCGTAGGAGATATTGCCATGGCAACTCGTTGGACAGACGAAACCACACTGCGAACATACTGTCGGGCCATGGTAGCCACATTGTCCTGAAGATTGTCCTCAAATGGAAATTGGAAAGCGATTGTCAGTACAGATCGTGCACTGTAACAAGAAGCTGCATCTCCAGTAGTCGAGTTTGTTGCTGGGCCCACTTCAAGACTTGATGCTAGATCTAATGTTCTATGTGCGTTCAACGTATCCTGGGCATCACCCTGAGTAATAAAATCAGAAGTCATGCTGTAATGTAAATGTTCAACTCAGCTCATTCTCTAAATTCAATGGAGTTGTGGATGAATAATTTACTCAACTGATTTTGATTCGAGAGGAATAATGCGAAATCCGGAGGGAAGCAAAGGTGCATCATCTGGAAACATCTCATCAATAGGGGCAAAAACTAGTTCAGAACAGGCTCCAACTGCATTCTCATCAGTGCCACTACACATCTGGAAATGATTGTTGTCTTAGCATATCCTTCAAGAATGTTTGTGAAACATCAAAGTAAAGGCTGAAGTACCTGTAAAAGGTGAATATCTCTTGGCATAAAAGCATCTTCCTGTCCAATAGAGTGCCCTTCAAGTCTAATAACTTCAAGCATCTGTAAAACAAAAACAAAAGTGAGAAGAAGTCTCAAGTATAATATTATTTATATAATTATATTAGCAACAAGCCTGGCCATTGAAAGAACAAAGGAGTGCAAACTGCTTACTTCTTCATGCTCAATTGTGTGGCCAAGTGGCATTATTATCTGGCTACCGGTAAATCTGGTAGGCCTCATCCCAGGATATGTATACGGACAAGACTTCAATGCAGAAGCTACAAAAGCATCAACATTAAAGTCTGCCCACTCTGAACGGTGCTCCCTCAGAAACCGAACCAGTACGGCAGGGGGGACATTCTGCCAGGAAACAAAAGAGTCAAATTATTCTCATTTATCCAGTTACACTTGTCTTAACAATTAACTCCATCTATTGCTGATATGGACCAGTCTCTCAGTTGGTATCGTAAAAGAGGATGCAAATATGAACTTGTGAACTTCTGTTTGTTGTGTATTAACAAGAGCAAGGTAGTTGTCGAATGAAAAATTCTATTCAGTTCAAGAAAGATCCACTATTCACCTGGAGTAGCATTGATGCTTTGGCACAAAGGACGCCACCAAGCGGGGAAAGAGGAATGGAGGTGGTTGCGAGGTTCTTCCTTGAATTGACAGCAACTATGACATCTTCAGCACCATCTGAACTTAACATTGACCAGCCATCGTCACCGAATCCATTGATGGCATCATTGAACCCTCTGCAATATAGAAATGGCCTAATAAGGTACTTGTATATGTACTTCAGAATTGGCATCTCAGAAGTGCATAAATTTTCATCATCTCAAAGCCACATAACAAAAAATCAGAAATAAGCATCACCTGCATAATCTCTGGCTAAATGTTCGAAGAACAGCAGGTTGCCTTCCTAGACCATATACTACCTCGCCGCTAGTCTCTTGAGCTAGTTGCCTTGCATATCGCAGTGCCTTCACAGAAAAGAAAGTAAAGCATGAAATCATGGTTCTTCTTCTGTGGCAGTAAGCTATGGGAAGTGTGATACTGCACAAGTACTTTAAACCTGACAAACATATAAATCTATATGCCGTATTAAATGATAACGAAGGGTTGAACTCACTGCAATAGTCATTTTCTGTGCCACAACTTTCGACGATTCATAGAGTGGACGCAAAATCTCAGGGGCACTCCATGCCTGAAAAATATATGAAGTGAATTGCAGCTACCATGCAAAACAGGTTCATGACAAAGGTAAGCAGTACTTTACAAAATCTTACCTCAAGATTCAGGTGATCAACAATATGTATGATTGATCCTCCACCATCACACGGTCGGATCAGATATCCAGATGGAAGCATTTGAGCTCTTACAAACTGGGAAGCAGCAGTAGGATTTGGGCCAGGCCCATTACCAGATAGGGATCTTTCACAAACCTTGGTGAGGAGGATAAATTGATGCCACACAAAAAGAAACTGTGAGCAACATCTACCAAATGACGCAGCTAATAGAATTCACTATTAAGAATCACAAATAATGGAGCCAAGTATTATACTGAAGTAGCAAGATACTCAAAGGTCTAGACGGGGATTATAATGCAGCATTTGGTTAAATATGACCCAAAAATATTACATTTCAGGACTTCTGTTCAATCCAAGGATTGAAAGGTTGAGATGTTAAAAGACTAGTTAAACAGGGAATGCCAGAACTAAGTATAAAAGTGGCCAGGTCGCCAACACAAGCTCACTTAAATGTGAAGGATTGCTTACCACGAGACTACCATTGTCTAGGGTTGTTGTGTATCTCAGCGTCCAAAAATCACGCGCGGGAGCCAGAGTTGTGGGAGCATATATCTGAAAGAAATGATTCATTGATCCCCTCAATGCTGTATCTAATCAAATCAGAAGTGTACATAGAGATTGAGGAGAAGGTATTCACCTGGGTATACAAAAGCTCAACTGTACCACCATTTCCAGCAGGAAACATTGTGATAACTTCAACATTCCGGCAGTCGCGGAACCAAGAAGGTCGATCTTTGAGGATATCAGCAATCTGTAAAATGTTTTAGTAAGAAAAAGCTGACAACATCTACAATCATTAATGGACTAAAACTAGCAATGGAGCAGCAGTAATATTTCTGAATAGACTTCCAATTGTTTACCTTTGTTGGCTCTAAACTAACAAGACCACATGCTCGGGCTGCCACTCCACTGCAACTGTGTGAGATGGCAAAAATCCCAACTGAATCCGGACCAGGCTGACAATTGAATGATAATATTGCCTTTTAGCCGTCTGGTCAATGATACAGATGGAAATACTGAATTTTAAAAAATAAAAGGTGATTGACTAGAGTTCAACCTTCATCCCAGGCATCGGGACCCAATCGACAGCAGTTCCTGTAGCCTTAGAAAGGAACTCTGCCAAGGTTTCTTCTGCAATTGGTAGTAGTCTGCATAGAGAATAAACATGACTTAGAGATAAATAATCAGTCCCTTAAATTGTGAAATTTGCTATTTACTTCCTCCAAAGATACAGTATGAACACGTTTGAGAATTAACATCATATAAGTAAGGAGTGAAAGAAATAGCTGTTTGAAATTATTACCCAGCAGGGTTGTTAGCATCTCTAAGGGAATGCTGAGGAGTGGTTACCACTGATTCACAACTTACATCAGTAGTGGCCGCCGATACCTGCAGCAAACACAATTAGAGTCTTAAGTAAGCTTAAATTAAGTCCTCTTGATCCACAAATGACTGGTGATATCTGTCATCTTACAATTTTGAAGTCACAGGACCTTAAATGTTTCTTGTACTACTACACAAAAATAATGCCATGCAAATTTAGTCCCATATATAAAGTAACGCATTCCAGAATTATAAGACTGACTGATTAAAATCATGGACTCAATAGCGGTGGAATATTGTATAATCTAGACTACACAGTGAGTAGCCATTTCAGCAGCATAGATCAAGTGAACAAAAAAGACAAGATATGTTTGACATTAATCTACTATATAGTAAGCAACACATGGAGCTTTTGGACATAAAAAATAAACGAAGAGTTAAGTTAGCTTACACTTTGCAATTGTTGCCGCATATAGCCATTTTCACATACAAGCTGCGAGACTTGTTTCTGCAAGCGGTCATTCTCCTCCATCAACAGTTTATTCATCGCAGACAACTTTCTGTTCACAGTCTGCAATCGAGAAGACTCTTTCCTTTGCTTCTCTCGACACCTGAAATGATACAACGTTTACCCTCCATACCAAACTCTAAGCTCAATTTCCCAATCACCTAAGGTTAACACATACCCTACCACTCAACCAACAAGCCTAGGCAAGGAGAACTACAGTGATACATTCAGTTTATCATCACTGATCTAACTAATACAAGATTCGAGCAGTACTAAACAAAGTAAAGTGCAGATCAATCGTACACAATAGACATATAAAAATGTATGCAATTAACAACAAAACATAAACCAAAATTTGGGCAAAATTGAACAATGGAAGTATACCTTCTGTTCTGAAACCAAACTTTGATCTGCTTAGGCTCGATATTCGACAGAATATGACATTCACGGATCAATTGCTGTCGACGCAACGAGCTAGGCTTAGGACACTCTGCATAAACCCTCTCCAAAGCCTCAACTTGCTCAGCCGTATATCGAACATACTTTCCACTACTATCAAGATGTTTAGTAATACTACCACTACTACTCTCCCTATGCTGTTGAGCCACCATAGCCATTTTCCCTCAAATCCAAACCCCAGAAAAAAAAATCAAGATTTTCAAAACACCCCCAAGTAGATATATTCCCTGAAACTACTTCCTTAGCAGCTTTACATATATATGTATATATATCTATACAGAGAACTAAGATTCTCTGAAACAAAGGCTTTATCTTTTTCTTTTGTTCTTTTTTTTTCTAGGGATCTCAGACAAGATGAAATGGACGATCTTGATTGAACTAGAAGATTCCTAGGTTCTCCCCCTTTTGGTTTCTACACAAGGCTCAAACATACACTTCACGCTAAACTTACAAATTAAGGTACAGCCAAAACTGCTCAACGAAAGATATGGCAGAAAAGGACAACAAAATCAAAAAAAAAAATCACTTCAGCTGTAAATTACTCGTGTTTGATACTTTACTACACCATTTCCATTCACACAAACCTCCAAACTCCATCATCATTAAAAAGAACTTTTAACTTTCTACCAATAGCCCTTTGATTTTTGCTTCAAAACTCTCAAATTTTTGGAATCTTAAGCAAAAAAAAAAAAAAACTTTAACTTTTTTTCATGAATTTCAAGATTCTGAGCTGGAATAAATGACACGTTTGATACCCAACCTGAATTTTCGGATTACAAGCCAAAAATGGAGTTCTTTTTCCCAAATATCACTGAAAAAGAGATGGATGGATTCTCTTAAAGTAGACAAAAAAACAAATCATACAAACAAACACCCTTTACCCTATACAGAAAAACAAGAACCACCACCCCCTTAACAAACAGAATTCAAAAAAAATAAAAAAAAAAAGCTCTGATTCTTGATTTTCCCTTCTGTTTTTTATTCAACCCCAGAAGAAGAAAAAAGGTTCAAAACATTAGTAGAAACAACCCCTTAAGATCTGAAACTGAAACAAACTGTAAAAGACATGGTTTTTTTCAAGAACAACAAAAAAGATTGAATTTTTATTGTTTTTAGAGAGAGAGTATTGGTGGTTTTGTGTAAGATGATGAAAAATGGAGAGTGGTGGTTGAGGAAAAAGAAAGAAAATGGAGAGAGAGAGAGAGAGAGAGTGATGTTGAGAATTTTGCTTGAGTTAGAGCTTTTTGAGCTCGCAAATCGAAAATGCCTGTGTTTTTATGCTGCTATCTCCTTCCTTTGCTTCCCTCACTGTTCTTCCTTTGTGTTTTTCTGTTTTTTTTTCCGAAATAATAATATATTCGGTATAATAAATTTTAAATCTTATAAAAATAAGCCTGATAAGATAGAATGTAGAAAAGATATTTTCAATTGAAATAATATTTTTTTTGTTTAATAATAATTGTTCACGATATTAAAAATAATTATTCAATAATATTTGTTTAATTTAAAAAATTAACAGATAATTTATGTTGTTGTTGGATAGAAAAAATAGCTTATTTGGTGTAATTTGATAAATCGGATATCATGAATATGGAACGTAGAAAGGTTATTTTTTTATAAATATATAACTTAAAAAAATAAAATATCCTACATGAAATTATAAGCTCATATTTGATTACAAATTTCAAATTGTGATTTAAAAATTAGCATGGTCACACCTTGTTTAGATGATTGTTATATTATTAGTCTAAATATAATGGTTGTTATAATTGTTAGTATAAATTTTATTGTATTGAATTTATTATTAGGTAATGAAAAAAAGATTCATTTTTATGTGAAAATCAAATTGGTGTGATCACGTTATTATCCTAATATTTTGTTATCATTTTATCTTTATTTGTTTTCTTTAATAATCATATTTTATCTTTTATTCTATCATTCTCACAGTAGCTTCACCTTATACTTTACTTTTCTTATAGATTTACATCAGAACTATCAATGTGTGACATTATATAATGACAGAGAATAATACAATTTATCCAAACCAATATGCATTAAAGTAATATAGTACGATATGGTACAATTCAAAACGAGACGGAACAATTTATAACTATCATCCAAACAAAGAGTCCAAATAATGTAGAATTTGAAAAGAATAAAATATAACGGTATTGTCTTTGATAAATCTTTGATACAAAAAGAAAATCAAATACATAGTAATAAGCTCTCGTTTGGCTATTAATTTTAAAGTTAAAACTTAAAAATTGAAATTGTATTTGAGTATGTATTTTACTTGAAACTCATTTAAAACTTTTTGAATAAAAATCTATAATTTCTAAATATCTATTAGTTTGTAGGAACTTAAAAATATTTAAAAATCAATTTTCAATATCAGAATATATTTTATCATAAACAGATATTTGATATAAAATTTTAATTTATGATCAAATTTTTGTAAGATATAAAATAAGTACAACAACAAATAATAACACACATCAAGAAATAAGAAACTAAGTCATATTTTAATGTAAAAAGGATATTATAATTGTACGAATATAAAAATACTGTAACCTGCTAAAGTATAATAATGGAACTACTTTTTCTTTTAAATTATTAGTATTATAATAATATTATTGTATTTATATTATTATCACTGTTTTGGATGAATTAAAATATAAGAAAAAAAAGAGGAAAAGTTCAAAGTACATCTTTGTTCATATATGGTCACTATATTGTTTTAAGTGATTTTTTTAAAAAAAAACCATTTTTAGCCAAATCTTTTTAGTATATATCATTTAAATTTTAACATTTAGTTCTTAATTATAAAATTAATTATAAAGAGAGTTATTTATGAATCAAAATTAATATAATATTTTCTAACATTTATATTTCAAAAAAAAATCACATGTAAATTCATAAAATAATATAATTAAACCATTAAAAATGTAACCTATGTAAATTACAGCAATGAAATTACAATAATCTCCCTAACAATATGATCATAACCACATAAAAAGTTATATTTTTCATAAATTTTAGTCAGATATCTCGAATTTCATCTTAATATAAAATGATCTTTGTTAATTTTTTTCTTACTTCAACATAATACTTAGAAAATTAATTTGAATATCAAAATTACATTTAATTAAAACTATAATAATCTCCTTAACAATATGATCATAACCACATAAAAAGTTCTACTCATAAATTTGGGTCAAATATCTCAATTTTTATCTTAATATAAAATGATCTTTGTTAATTTTTTTCTTACTTCAACATAATACTTTAGAAAATTAATTTAAATATCAAAATTACATTTAATTAAAATTACAATAATCTCCTTAATAACATGATAATACACCACCTAGGAATTTTTTTTAGATATTTCGAACATGATCTTAATATAAAATTATCTTTTTTTAATTTTTTTCACTTTGATATAATACTTATGATTTTGTGAATGTAAATTTGAATATATAAGTTTGTCCGTATTCCGTAGCAATATAGATATCGAATATCGATTTTTTTTTTTTATGTTCGAATATTATATGGAATTGGCTCATTTAAGGATAGATGTACAGTGAGTGAAATGACTTTTAAGACCCACGCCACGTACTGTTAAAAAGAAAAAAAATTGAAAAAATGGTTGGGTCAAATCAGTCAGAAAATAAAATCTTCTGCCAAAATGCCTACTCTGCCCTTTTGTGGTCTAATGCACTCTGCCAAAATGGTTAAAAAGATTTATTGCTTCTTTCTTTTTGTCTTCGCGAGGTAGGAATAAAGTCGAGATCTAGATTTAAAAATTACGATAATATATTAAATATATTGTTATTGTTATTATTATAACTAAAATGCATTTTTTTTAAAAAAAAATATAACCAACGAAGGTCGTGGTAAAGTGATAAATACTTCTATATATTTTTTGATTTCGAATTTCTCTTGATACAAAACATCTTTATAAGAAAGTGATTAATCTCTCAAACACAAACTATTTGATATAAATTCAAATTTAATCGAGTTTCAATATGAATACTAGATATCAAAGAATTAAAGTGAGAAGTCATATTTGAAGATATAACTTTGGGAGATTTTGTTATTTTTTATTTTTTAAAAAAATTAGAGCCTTGATGCAATTTTATGATTTTTTTTTTCTATCTTACTCTGTGCTCAACACGAACCCAAACTACAAAGTCTATCTCCAAATCTCCAATATATTATGCTTGCGTATCTCATCTATCAATACTATATCATCTGTAAATGACATAAACCATGACAATTTTCTTTGAATATATCGCGTTGATTCATTCATCACCAAAACAAATCAAAAAAATGGACAAAAAATTTAACGACAGTATAATAGTTAAACGTTTTACTAGATACTATTATAAATACTTATTCCCAAAGTTTATGCTATTTGATAAACTTTTAAGGGGTTCTCGATAACTTAAATCAATTAGTTTCTTCTCTTCCATGAAATTAGGGCTAGATAGAAAAGTTACTCAACTAGATACTAGTACTCAACATGTTGGTGAAGGACAAATCAAATCTAGTTAGTTAGTAGTGTTTGAATAGTGGAAAATAAATATATAGTCACATGTCCAACCTAGGGTTTTCAAGTTTTTGATTGACAACACAAAACTAATTAATTTTTAGTTAAATTAAATGACCCCATTCTAATCATGGGATTTTCAATTTTCCCCCTATAAATCTCTCATAAAAAAAACATTTTAAATATATATACTAAATAGTACTCCCTATTGATCTCACATATTAATCTAGTGGGATTAGTTGAATATGTTGCTGTTTACCATTACTTTTAACCAACTTTTTCCCTTCATAATTACAGTAATTTGCAGTCAAATTTCATAATTAGTAGAGTAATTAACAAGGTGGGGTTCTTTAATTTGTCCTCTTCAAATAGTTTAGACTTTTTTTTCCCCCATTTAAATAGCTTCTTGTTAACATAGAGTCCATTGTTCTTTATTATTGGTGGTGTTATGTCCCCTTCCTAATTACCTTTCAATTTTGTTAAAATTTTGCTATCATTACCTTACATGTTATGTTAAGAATTACATTATAAATTTGCTAAATAGTTTCTCTTATATATATATATATATATATATATATA